TGTCTATGTAATATTAGAATTTTCTGAGACAATGAATTTTGTTTTTTCATTTTATTTTTTTCCCAGTAAGAGATTTTTATTTAATAAAATTTTTGGACCAAACAAAATCGCAATTAATCACAATATATATCACCTTGCTTACAGTATCGAAATATATCGGGATATATCGTATCGTGACCCCTCTGTCATGATATGTATCGCATCGCCAAATTCTTGCCAATACACAGCCCTACTTGAAAAGTCCACCCCSACCCCCCGAAGTATGCTTCTTTTGATGTTTTATACTTCAACACAGTGCTTCTCAAAAAGTGATGCAGTAATTAAAATTTTTCACTTTTTTTCATATCAAGTTTTAAAGGAGCACCACAGAAATCAAGACACCTCATATGAAAAAATGTCTGCATTTAATATAAAAAGAGAGTTTTTCTCCCCACTCTTATCCATCCAGAAGACACATAGTGGAGAGGGGAGACTGAAACACCCTACCTCTGTAGCATCTATGAGGTGCCGGGCAGGCCGACGTGACATGCATTTCATTTAACAAAGTGTGTTTGATTCAYTTTAGGATGGCAAAAGTGAGTTGATTCTGTTTTGTGATTGATTTGTCGCTCTCCACCTCAGCCCTACTAAAATCTACTCCATCTCTCTTTTGGCTCCACTGTGTCCAGTTCATTTCTGAATGCCCCCCTATTATTATCAATATGCGCTATGCTAACACACCACCCCCAGTATTACAAACGTTAGCACTACCCAAACCCCTTGCATGCCACATTAGTAACATTAGCGCTCTGTTAAGGCCAGTAATGTAGGGGAAACCCTACTTAGAAGAAGAAAAACTATTTTATATAATTTGCAGTGATTGTTTTCAGACAACACTTTGTCACGGATGCAGACACATCAGTGAGGAGGTTTCTACATCGTGAAGCCGACACGTACACTATGGATGTCGAGGTGGGGAGTGCTTCGTCAGTAATGAACACCAAGTTATGTGGAAAGTTTCATGTGACTGTTGTTTCCAAATGTCCCCACAGGTTGTGGTGACTTTCTCAAGTTTTGAGACGATGGAGCAGATATGCAGCATCCTGCTGGAAAAGCTGGATAAGAGCGTCCACGTGGCTGCACCCCAGTTCTACCACAGCCCCGGATGTTTGAGTCAAGCCAGGTATTTAACACTCGTGGATTTGATCTGAACAGATTCAGTCGATCGTGTTGTGATTTGTGTGTTGCCGTGTTTTGCAGGGAGCGTGCGTGTGAATCTGCTGTTCAAAATGCTCAAGAGAAGGCATTTAAAATCATAGGTGTCCTGGGGATATATAGTCTGGGGCTTCCCCTGCTGGTCAGAGAGGAGGAGACCAAAGAGTGGAGGAATGAGGAGGACAACGGAGACAAGGAGCAGGGTTTACCTCTTCGCTTTCCCCACATACCTACAGTCACTGTCTCATCCCTTGTCTCCGTCTCCTACAGAGCTGAACCATAGTAGTTTTTATTTTTATTTTAATAATCAAAATAACATATGTATAAAGGGTTAAATGTGACAACAATGGATAAATACATACACCTTGAAATAAATAAATGTTACATTGTCCTAATTAAGAGTTCATTACTGCCTCTGAAATCAGCTGTGTTCAATTTTAATAAAGAAAAATTACAGAAAAAAGGCAGGTCTGTATTTTATGTATATATGTATGTGTGTATGTGTGTATGTATA